AAAAAAAAAAAAAAAGCTAAACCTAGATGTTAACTGGAATGAGCCCCTCACTAACTAGCGGGGCAGTGCTCACAGCTGCAGAGTGAGCACTCTTTTCTGTTGGGGGTCAGTAAACAGGGGTGGTGAAGGCACTTGGCCTTCCAGGGCCCAATGCCTGGAAGGCCAGTGGATACTGGGCTCTGGGAAATGCAGCTGGGGTGGAGGTGGTGGGTAGAGAAGGACACTGAGCAGGGTGTGAGTAGACCTGTCCCAAGCCTCAGCTCTACCTTCTCTGATGGTGTGGCCTTGAACAAGTCACTTCCCTTCTCTGGCTCTAGTTTTCTCATCTGGGAAATGAGTTAGAACAGAGCATCTCCAAAGTCTCTTTCACCTCTGAGATTCTCTGACTCTCTGAATACGAAGCCATAATTTCAGTTTGGACATTTCCATACTATGCATACATGTACACAGTGTGATTAGACAAGCTGACTTTTTTTCAAAGACCAGTGGTAGCCATCAGCTTGGAGTGTAGTGTTTAGTCACATAAACATATAAACCAAATGAAAGAGAAATTTAAATTTCCCCCTTGTGTTAGTCACCCTGGACACTGCCATAACAAAACGCCATAGACTAGGTGGTGACTTAAACAACATAAATGTATTTCTCACAGTTTTGGAGGCTGGGAAGTTCAAGATCAAGATGCCAGAGGGTTTGGTTTCGGGTGAGGGCTCTCTTCCTGGCTTGCAGACGGTGGCCTCCTCCCTGTGTCCTCACAGGGCCTTTCCTCAGCGCCCGCACTTAAAGACGGGGAGGAAAGGGAAGATGGGAAAGAGAAGAGGGCCACAAATCCTATCTCATTAGGACTCCATTCTTAGGACTTCATTTAATTTTAATTACCTCCTAAAAGCCCTACTCCAAATATAGTTACACTGGGCATTAGGTCTTTGGCACAGCATTTAGGGGAGGGGGACACAATTCAGTCCATAGCACATCTCTGTTGCTTTAAAATTAAATAGTTTCTACCTGTCTTGATTTTTAGTCCTTCTCAGGGACAGGAAAAAAACTAGATTATCTCTCACCGAGACTGACTGACAGATAGGAGAGGAAAGTGGTTGTTCCGTGATTAAGTTCCTCGGGTCTTCCTGGTTCTAGGCCCCATCGCTGTATCAGCAGCTGCCAGTCGTACTCAACCTTCAGCTCTGAGAATTTCTCCGTGTCCGATGGAGAGGAGGGAAATACCAGTGACCACTCAAACAGTCCTGATGAGTTAGCTGATAAACTTGAAGACCGCCTGGCAGAGAAGCTAGACGACCTGCTGTCCCAGACGCCGGAGATCCCCATTGAGATATCCTCGCACTCAGACGGGCTCTCTGACAAGGAGTGTGCTGTGCGCCGCGTGAAGACGCAGATGTCGCTGGGCAAGCTGTGTGCGGAGGAACGTGGCTATGAGGTGGGGGCTTCTCCCTGCTCTCGTCGCTGATCCCTCCCTAGGTCTTTTCGGTTAGCGTACGGTCAAGTCCTTAGGGCCTTTACATTTTCGTTTAGCATGTAAGATGCAGCTGTCTCCATGAAGTAAGTAGAAGTACAGGGATCAACAGAGCTTCCAGAAACGAGGGCAGTTTCTCCCAAATGAGGCACAAACATTCAACTGCTCAGGAACCCTTCATTTCAAGATTTAACTCAAACATCACTTCCTCCTGACCCCATCTTCCAACAAGGTTAAAGGTCCGAGCCTCCTTCCTCCACGTCCTCACTGTCCCTTGAATGATGCTGTCACAGCACATGTAACACTTTACACGTATGTGTGTGTGTGCGTGCACATATGTATAAAGGCATGTATGTAATATTGCCTTCGGAGAGGCTGGATAGCACAGTGGTTATAAATGTATACCCTGGAATCTGACTGCCCTTCCACTTACCATGTGACCTTGCAAGACACTTATCCTCTCTGTAGGTCAGTTTCCTTATCTATAAAATGGGGATGATAGCATCTGTCTCATAGGGGTGTTGTGAGGATTACGTGGATTAACAGAGGTAAAGCTTGTTCGACGGTGCCTGGAGCATAGTAAATGCTATGTAAGTGTATGGGGTGGGGTACTGTTAGGATTGTTGTAGTTGTCATCATCTCATCTCCATGGGTCTTCTTTCTCCATATGCCCCACAGGGACAGGACCTGATCTCATTTATCTTTGCAGCCCCCCACCAAGCACAGTGCCTGTTGTGTGGGAGGTGTTCAATACATGTTTACTGCGTGCCTGTAGCAATAAATTAAGGCTTTATTTTGTCTTGACTTTGCAGAACCCTATGCAGTTTGAAGAATCGGACTGTGACTCTTCAGAGGGGGAGTGTTCTGATGCCACAGTTAGGACCAATAAACACTACAGCTCCGCTACTTGGTAATGAAGGAATACACGTCCTGAAGATCTCATAACTATACTGGCATTTCAAATCCACCCCACCCCCAGACTCTTCCCACTCTCTACCTGCTTTCTGTCTGGGAAGAGAACTGCCCTATCTTTACTACCCCTAGAAATAAGCTGCAATAACAGGAACATGAGACTTCGCAAATCTCTGGAAAAAAAATATCCAAATGAAATTAAGTCTCATTGAACATTTCAATCAAGAATGGCAGGGATCTATTTTATTGAATATTCTAGCTACTGTAACATTGATATTTATTTTTGTTTGACATTTTAACACTTTGTACTGTAAAGAGTGAACTATATATGATATAGAGAAAGATACAATAATTTCTTGCAAAAAAAAAAGAGAGGAAAGAAAGAAAAGCGAAAAAGAAGTGAAATTTAGGAGCAACATCCTTGGGAATTTGTGGGGCTGGGAGGTATTATTGCTGCTTGAATAGGGGACCAGGTCTTTTGGCCATAAGTGACTGAAGAAGAGCCAGAGCAAGACATATTGAGCATTTTAGAACATAAGCAACAGCAAAAGAAAAGCAAGTCCAGGCAACTTGTGAACAGACCACATTAAGTTCAACCAGATTGTCCAGCTGGGTGATGGAAAGAACCTTAAAAAGTTTGGGGACCAGATACTTGTCTTTGAGGGCATGTACTTCCTCTAGGAGGAAAAAAAACAAAACTGTATATGTGGAAACTAATTTCATTTTTAAAATTTTAAGCAGCATTTGGTAGTGAGGCTTACAGATAGTATCAAACCTTGTCCTTGGCAAATACTTCCCTTTTTAATGCTGTCGTTGTCCTTACCTTGACAAATGTGTTACCATGACTGATGTGTTGATCTTGCAGACTCAAGTGCCATTTTCTTATAGCTTATTTCCTTTCTACCTGCTGACTTTTAGGAAAAAGGGTAGTGGGGTATGATGAGGAGAAGAAAAAGATACGAAAAAAGGACCGTCTACAACAGTGTTAAAAGAGCCAATGTGGAAGTTTTAAAAGTACATTCTCAGGATGGCTCGGTTGAGCTACAAGGTGAAGATGGGATCACCCCTCTCTGGAACCAGGTTGCTTATCTGCTAGAGTCATATTGATTCAAGTAGGAGAACAAATTTTGAAGGCAGCTAGGATGTGTGCGTGTGTCTGTCCAATGTCTAATCCAAACCATCCCCTTATTTTTATTCATTAACTCATTCTATCCTGGAAGCTTTAGTGACTGGCTATCACTGTCAGAATAAAGGCAAAACAAGCAACTTGCAAAAGGCAACTCCTCTCCCAACGTAACAGCACTTTTGTTAAATGCTGCTTGTAAAATATCATTTATTTCACTGCAAATCAATGCCATTTTGAATAATTGGATTTAGAAATTTGTGGAACGAACAAGCGATGCTGAGCAAGGATCGGAAAGGTTTTCACATTGTCAAAAGCAAGAGGGCCTTCCTGTCTCCAGGGTCACAGCCTCTGAAAAGCATCCCAAGGTACTTCGTCATGGCACCTTGGCTTTAAGAAAAATCTTATCTAGAATTCGATTTACAAACAGATGTTGACCTAGTTCCTGTCTGTGTCTCCAGGACAGATTACTGTCCAACAGCCTCTTGATTCTCTTGACTGACACTGCATCATGTTGAACGTTAGGAAAGACTTGCACCGACAGCTATTACCATTTCCAGTGCAGATGAAAATGTTGCCTCTCCTCTGGGTTTCACTAATTGCATCAGCCAAAAAGGAAAGGCAGGAGGGAATTTAGAGCAGTTCCTTTTGCTTGTTTGATCCCTCCAGTTGTTTACACTTTATGTTGAGACATTGATTTAAAATGTATTGTCTATGATTTATAGCTCTTAGGTAGAATGAAGGAAAATGTTTAACTTATACAGAGAACAGTATTGTTTGCATTAAATTATTCCATTTTGTATAAATTCTGTAGCTGGACTACATGAAAGATCTTAAGTTATGGCATTATTATCATTGTTATTTTATTTTATAATATTATCATTCTCATTTTCTGTCGATCAGAAGGTGTGGTTTACGATGTAGCATAATGATCATGTTTATTGCTAACCGTGAATTATGATGGGTTTTATAATTTTAATGAAGGAATGAAAATGGAATTGCCATTTGGGAACTCCCTAGTATTCATCTTAGCTGTATTCCCTATTTTCTATGTACAACAACAACAATCATCTGAGGATGCGTGTTCTGCCCTGAAGCCCAATGGATACGTTGTGATTTTGACTGGATCATGAAAGCTCTGGGTGGGCAGCTGACTAAGTAGATGGACAAATAGTTCAAATCTGTAAACTTCCTCAAGTTTCTTAGGAAATAAAATCATGGGACTACGTTAGAAGCAAAAAGAGAATTATTTAATGCCCTGAGAGGAACAGACCTAGAGAGTTTTTCATGGGGCTCATGGATTAGTTTCAAGAATTGACAACGTAGTTTGTAATTTCCTTCCAGTCAGATCCCTCAACACCACTCTTTTTTCTCCTAGTCGGGATTAGCAGGGAGACTAAGAAAAAAATATATATACACTAGTCCTCCCATATCTGAGGTTTTACTTTCCCTGGTTTCAGTTAACCCACAATTAACCATGGACTGAAAATATTAAATGGAAAATTCCAGAAATAATTCATAAATTCTAAATTGCGCACCATTCTGGGTAGCATGATGAAATCTTGCACTGTACCACCCTGGACACGAATCCTCCCTCTGTGCAGCATATCTATGCTGTGGATGTGACCTGCCCATCAGCTGCTTAGTAGCCATCTTGGTCATCAGATCAACTATTACAGTTATCACAGTGCTTGTGTTCAAGTAACCCTTATTCTACTTAACAATGGCCCCAAAGGGCAAGAGTACTGGACCTAATTTATAAATTAAACTTTATCATAGGTATGTGTGTACAGAAAAAAACATAGTATATATAAGGTTTGGTACTATCCTCGGTTTCAGGTGTCCATTGGGAGGTCTTGGAACGTATCTGCCACAGATAAGGGGGGACTACTGTATGTACATATAAGGCATGACTTAAAATGCCTAGTTGTGATGTCATCATAACAAGACTAAAGAAATTCAAGAAAAAGGCGTAGTCACTTAAAGGATCAAGTGCTGGAAAAAGTACCTTGAAAGGCCATATTTTCCATACTCTGACTTCAGATCACACTGCACTGTGATTTTCTTTTCTTTTCTTTTCTTTTTTTTGGTTCATTATTCCTTGGAATGGAGATGCTACCATTCTATGTCCACTGTCTGTCCAACATGAAACACTGACACTTCAGTTTGTCCAATTCTCGCCCACCTTTAGTGGCAACAGAGAAACATGAGAGTCAAGTGCTGTCTTATACCTTTCAATGATGGTCTTCCTAGAACACCCACCCCAGATACCTCATATTTTTTATCAGTTTTTTGAATTCCCATCTTGACTATCTTGTATGCTAATGCCATACACCTTATCTGGATTAAATGTTCTGAGCATGTTAGGACAGTAGACAATGGTTGAATCTTCAGTCATTTGCCATATTGTCAAGAGTTGAATAAAGTCCACATTGAACACATTTGTTGAGTAGAATTGACTGGGAGTTTCAGAGAAGATTGGTGTCCTTAATCGAGGTTAAAAAGGGAAATACCTTCTCTATCCCAGCCTGGCTCTTCCCTGCCTGCCTTGTGATGAGCAGGAAAATCTTGAATTGGTGTTATGTTTCCTTGAGAACAACTCCACAGTCATCTGAAGAGTGTTGAATGAAGAGCTCAGGGAATTTATGAGCTAATTTTCCAGTCCCCACAACTGTGCAACAGTGCTCCAAGGAACCTCACAAGACTGATGTCGAGCTTCTTCATTGGGATGAATGTCTACATTCATTTAGCATTTAGCATCTGGTTTTGACTGTAGGATAATGAGTTTTAATTTGTGTTGCAGATGAGCATTTGGTTCTGATTTCCATCTATTTCTAGATCATGTCCTCTGAATAACAATGTCTCTTAAAATTGCATAGCAGAGGGACTGAGAAGCCTGCATCCAGTGTGAAACTAATGGACCTTACCACCACAAAAGTTTAGACCTGGTCTCCAAGGTTGTGAGAAGCTCCCACTCGGAAAGGTAAAGATGCCAGCTCTACTGCAAGAGGATTTGTATGGCCTACTTGAAGTTCAAATACTATATTTAAAAATGTTAGTATCAACAAATCTATCTTTCTAGAATTAAGGACATTTTTAGTAGGATTTAGTAAGACATCTACTGTAGGACTTCATTGTGCTAAATTACGCCCCTCTCTTTCCCTAAGTAATAGATGTGTTTTGGATTTTCCTGGTAGCAACCTAGACTATTCTCTCTCTATGGAGCACTGACATACTTTGAGAGTAAATGCATCCTTATTAATCAGATGATTTTTTTTTTTTCCCAATGCCCTTATGTCTCCATTTTTTTCCTTTTCTTAAAACATTCCTACTTGAACTTCCTGGAACTGAATTCTCCATAAGGTAATATTTGGAATCCAAGGAATTTCTCCCCTGCTCCACAGTAGAGTGTGCTGTTTTGTTTCGTTTTGCCAGTAAGCCAGAAACCAAAATACCAGCAGGTACCACCATTTACCACCTCCATCCGAAACACCCAAGGCCAACACTATTTATTGAGCATCATGTCCTTTCCTACTGGGCACAGACATAGCCTCAGAACTTCTCACGACATAGCACTTGGAGCAATAATTACCACTTGATCAGAATTGGTGTGCAAGGGGCAATCCATTTGCCATCCTAGCTCAAAGTTCATAACTGATTTCCTAAAGGTGGTTTGAGCTCTTGAGTTAGCTCTGATGGAAGAATGGCAGGTTCACACCAGAGTTCTCCTTAAGGATCCCACCTATGGCTGTCAGGGGCAGTACTACTGGCAGGGGAAAGGCCACTTGCCTCTACCCTTTTGGTCTATTAATACAATTGCAATTGAAGAATCATCAATCACTGATGGCTCAAATTCCAAAATGTCTCTTCATTCACATCATTTAATTGTATTGAATGAGCATATTCCTCCCTTGCCTTCTATAAACAGAAAATTAGTATGTTAAGTCTCAGGTACTTGCTTCTTCCTTAGACTCTGAGACTATGTACCAAAACGATATGACATTCTTTTCAAGACTTTGACTTGTACTGTCAGTGTTAGTGCCTTTCCAGGCAGCAAGATTCTTCTTCTTTGCTGATTTTATAGGACAAATGTCCCAGTATACTCACAACCCAGTGTTACTGACCTCACAGACTGGCACATTAGAGTCATATTAGTCTGCTTGTTCGCATGTTACAACTGATACTGCAAACACCTATTCAAGTTGGAATGAAATAGGCTGCTAAGTAGAGGACCCTTGTGGAACCTGGAGCATTTCTCAGGGATGGGTGGCAAAAGAGGGGAGCTCTGAAATCACTGCTCTGAGAAACAGGGTTACACCAAAAGAGTCGGGTTAAGAGTTTTGTTAACCATCAGGTGACCAGGGCACGATGGCAGGATTTCACACAGAGCCAAGCCCCAAGCAGATGACAAGGCCACTGTAAGGAAGCTTCCAGCAGCATCCCAGGCCTGCTCTCCAGAGCCACTTCACAGCACTCAGGGGATCGCTGGCTCCTGGCCCCAGGCTGCTGTCCAGTGACCAGGTGGACAGGGCCCTCCGATGGTTGCAGGCCAGAAGGAACGCTGGCCAGAATGTGTGAACTGTTAGGAAGATGTCACCCAGGGGCTCTTCACCTCCTGAGTGACCACTTCCCAGACTCCAGAATGGGAAGACCCTCTTTGATTTATTATAAATTTGAACTTCTATCAATTTGGACAGATTGAATTTCTTTTTTGTGGTTAAGTCTCAAAATGAACTCCCTCGTGTCCCCGTTCCCAGTGTTGTTTTCTGATGCCGTCTCCCCCTTTGTATTGAACAGCGATGGGAACAAGAACGACTATCAAAGCAAACGAATGCATGGAATTAAACAAAAAGTGTACTTCACCATTTCCTGGTCCTGTCTTTTCCTAAATGTACTGTTTGTGTCCTGAAAGCTGCCTTAACAAGTCTCAGCAACTGTCAGAACTTTAGGAAGAGGAAGACTTCACACGAGTGGGTTTCCTGCAGCCAGGAAAATCAGGTGAAGGGGAAAGCTGGTTTCTGTTGACTCTTGCATTTTAGACACAACCACAAAAGGAAGAGGCAACCATCATTTTCTTTGGTTACAGTCTGTTCCTGAGAATTCTGTAAAAGCCTAGGCAGGCCCTCGCTTCTTCCCTGTGCTTTCCTGCAGCCTATCTTATAGCTATTTCTGTTATTAGTGACCCCACTATAAAGGGAGCACAGAGAGGAAAAAGAAGATGAAAATCTGGCTTCCAAACAGTGATTTGGTAAGAAGCACACTGAGAGTAGAGAGCTAAAACACCATTTTGGATTCTCTGGTTTTCAGCCCATCCTGATTCCCAATGGCAAGGGTAGTTGAAAGTTAGCACCATGTACAAACAAGCACCACACAGAACGTTGATAATTCATTTATTTGGGAAATTGCTTTGCCTGTAAACTCAACTGATAAGGCACAATGTTGCAAACTTGTGGGGGTGGGGGAGGAAGACAAAGCTAAAGATCCTAAAAGGGGCACATTTGCAATATGTGGAGAACTGTCCTTGTTTCTTCTTCCCTCCTCCTACTACAGAACACTAAGAGCCTCTGTTTTCAAAGTCGGCCTCCTGTTTACCCCACTCTCATTATCAAGGTTTCTTTTAAAGACACACATTTTTAAAATGAAATCCTTGGTGTGAAAGGATCATACCATGTCCAAAAAACAGTTTGGGAATCCATTCTTCCTATGGAATATGAGTATTCCCAAGAATTCAAATAAAACAAGAGGCCTAGATTAAAGCCTCGGCAAGATTCTTGGCCAAGCCAAACCATAAACCCACCAAACGATGCCCAAGAGCAACAGTTCTGGTACGTCATGGTGAGTTACTCCTGCAGGGTACAGGACCACAGAGCTGGTTAGTTTGGGTGCCAAGGTCCCTCTGTCCTTGGAAGCATTAACCCAGCTCTGTGCCAATACAATACTGCAGCTGGAGGATGTATAGGCAATTAAGACACAACATAACAAAGTAATGAGAAATCACGTTTTCTTATGAAAACTGTTGTCAATTAGTAAAATAAAAGAAAGAAAAGTAGAATAAAAATTTAAAAAAATAAAAAGAGGCCGGGTGCAGTGGCTCATGTCTGTAATCCTAGCACTCTGGGAGGCCGAGGTGGGAGGATCGCTTGAGGTCAGGAGTTCAAGATCAGCCTGAGCAAGAGCAAGACCCCATCTCTACTAAAAATAGAAAAATTAGCTGGGTGTTGTGGCCGGCGCCTGTAGTCCCAGCTACTTGGGAGGCTTAGGCAGGAGGATCACTTGAGCCCAGGAGTTTGAGGTTGCTGTGAGCTAGGCTGACGCCACAGCACTCTAGCCCAGGCAACATAGTGAGACTCTGTCTCAAAAAAAAAGAAAAAGAAACCAAGTTCTCCTCCTTGAATTAAAAGATAAAACACAATTATTCCTCAGTTATTCTTGGCAAATACAAAATGAAAAACATTCAGAGGGTATACTGGCTGATAGCCTAGTGTACTGAATCCATTCTCTTAGAAGAACATAGAAGGGATTCTCACGCAGAAAGGACAGACAAGAAAGTGTATGGATGGTCATTTGATTTAGGTGAGTCAAGAGCCCTCCCCCCCCAATCCAGATGGATAAGAATTTTTCCAGAACATATCCATAACATAGAGTTTGCTCCATTCATATTTAATAGTCTATTTGTAACCAGCTTCACTGTCAGGACATGCAACCGTGAAATGTGACATACATGGTAACATCAGTGTGTCTGAACAAAAGAGCATCACAGAAATCATTGTGTATTTGAGCTATATGTGGAAGTCCTAGGCAGTTCGTCAGCTTGTTTCCCTTGACTTATAGAAGAGGTAGGTCATCAGCAAAAAAGTATAAAAGAAACACTCTTCAAGAGACTAATAGAAGATGAAGAGTGATGTCAGTGTTGTGGGTTCACATGTCATCACAGATACTAAACACATCCACAGGGACTTAACAAGAGGAGATCCATCACAACAGCCTGTCACTTTGCAAAAGAGGCACTCTGGACAAGGACAATCAACATCTTCTCCCAAGGCAAATACGACACACTGTCCTGAACTCGTTAGACAATAAAATATAAACAGGACTTTCTAGGAGGCCATCCGTATTGCAGAGTGTCCTGCTAAACCAGGACTGGTTTTAAAACCTGATACAATTCACCTTCAGGAGCACAGAGTGTCCTTTATGACAAGACACTGCACACAGATGAACAAAGTGTCCAAATCACCTGTTGAGGGCAATTTAAATACAATGAGGGGGCCGGGCGTGGTGGCTCACTCCTGTAATCCTAGCACTCTGGGAGGCCGAGGCGGGAGGATCCTTTGAGCTCAGGAGTTGGAGACCAGCCTGAGCAAGAGCGAGACCCCATCTCTACTAAAAATAGAAAAGAAATTAGCTGGACAACTAAAAATATATAGAAAAATTAGCCAGGCATGGTGACACATGCCTGTAATCCCAGCTACTTGGGAGGCTGAGGCAGGAGGATCGCTTGAGCCCAGGAGTTTGAGGTTGCTGTGAGCTAGGCTGACGCCACGGCACTCTAGCCCGGGCAACAGTGTGAGACTCTGTCTCAAAAAAAAAAAACATAAAAAAAAAAAATAAATAATGAGGGGCTTTAGAGGACCACACCCATTACACGAATAAGCAAGCATCCAGGGACATGGCAAACAGAAAATCCAGATCACGTGTCTTTTCTGTTTATATGATTAGCGTTGCTTGTTTCGTTCAATTGCAAGTGTTTCTGGCTAAATTTTTTAATGAGGGTTCCAGGAACTAATGCCACCAGGGCAATGGCCAACAGCTTTAAGACAGTTTCCCAGGAGAAAAGAGCATCCAGGGAGGTTAGGGTCGACAGGATGGAGCCGGTCTGTACACAGATGAAATTGTATGGTATCAAACCTGGAAGAAGAAAAGGGAAAAGAGCCTGTTACTAGGGGCAGGAAAACTAAGAAAATCACAATTCAGAAATGTCACCAGTAATTCAGAACAGTAAGTCCAGTTTTTTTGCCTGACTCCTGACCCTTAAACATATTAACTCTTTCCCTGCTTTCCTTCATTTCCACTCTTCCCTCCTCTCCTCACTTCCCATATACACCTGCCTTGAGGATGGTTTACACAAATATATATATACTACAATAAGATACAAATTTTAAAATAGGAAAAACAAAATGAGTGCAGAACAATGCAACAAGTCCAGGAGTACAATCAGTGCAAAAATGCATAATGTTCACACATTTGCTAAAGGTGGGTCCAAAATTTGGTTCTGAGCACCCTACAGCCAAAGAGGGAAGCACCATCATTTACAGTATGCATGAGATTAATAAAGACAGTTTCTTAAAAGAAGTACTACTTTTCATACTCTGTACTACCTCTAAGAGGTCATCAAATCCACTCAACCCAAAAGTCTGCCTGGTGGCTGCAAGTGCTGGTTGTGTAACAATCCCCTGGTGAACCTGTTAAAAAACACATCTTCAGGCTCTACCCCAGAAATTCTGGTTACTTGGTTCCAAGTTAGAGCCGTCCAGGAACCTGTATTTTAAAAGCCTCTTCCCCACCCCCACCCGGAGATTAGATCACAGACCACTGAAGGTCACACAGCTTGTCAGACCCTAGTCTCCAGAGTCTTTCCAAGCCTCAGGCCACCTAGGCAATTACAAGCCATTAACCCCCACTAACTGAGGTGCTGAGGCACTTTGTCTGAAAGCTGATATGACCAGAATTGGCTGTGGGAGATCTTACTTCCATTTAAGATCTCAATTTCTCTCAGGTATTCCCTATTAATAGCAGCTGCTCAACTACAGATTTGTTCTGTTTGACCTAGATACCCTGAATTTCCTTTCACTCCACGCTCTAAGGAAGGTTTAAGAGAAGGCAGTCCTAGGCCAGGTGCGGTGTCTCGTGCCTATAATCCTAGCACTCTGGGAGGCAAAGGTGGGAGCATCCCTTGAGGTCAGAGTTCAAGACCAGCCTGAGCAAAAGCAAGACCCCATCTCTACTAAAAATAGACAAAATTAGCTGGGTGTGGTGGTGCATGTCCGTAGTCCCAGCTACTTGGGAGGCTGAGACAGGAGGCTCTCTTGAGCCCAGGAGTTTGAGACACTGCACTTTAGCCTGGACAATAGAGTGAGACTCTGTCCCAAAAAAAAAAAAAAAAAACAAAGAGAGAGAGAGAGAGAGAGAGAGAGAGAAGGCAATCGGTGCCTTAGGCTTAAAAAGGGTGGCTTACTTTCAGCATTGAGAAAGTGCTAGCACTTTACCATTCTGCTAAAGTTGGTCCAAGGCCCACACTTTGAGAAACACTGCTGTAGTCCCAGGCCCTTATAGCCCACTGAGGGTAAGTAGCTTGCTAGAGGTCATACAATTGTTAAAGACAAGGAGAGACTTTAGAAATCGTCTAATTCAGCAGACTCCCTTCTAGGGACTAGCTACTCATAGTAGATACTTGTATCACCTGGAAAACTTTAAAAGATGCTGATCCCTGAGTCCCACCCTAGAGATGATGATTTAGTTGGTGTGTGGTGTGGCCTTAATACAAGGATTGTTAAGTCTCCCCAGGTGATTTTTAATAGGTTCGTAAAGCTTGACAACCACTGACTAGGAACTGGATTAAAAAGCATATTCCCAGATCCCACTCCCAAGATTCTGATTCATTAGGTTTGAAGTAGATCCCAGAATCTAGATTCTCAACAAGCCCCCTGACCTTACCATCTGTTAAAGGTGGCCCAAGACCCATACTTGGAGAAACACTGCTCTATTCCCAGCCTCTCATCTGGCCAAGTGGCCCATTGAAAGTAGGTAGCTTGCTGAAGGTCATGCAATTGTCAAAAGGCGAGAAGGAGCCTCATCGATGCCAGCTCTTTCTAAGGCAGAGCTTAAAACAGGAGCCAGGGCCAGATAGGAAATCCCTTGCTCTGCCCTTTCTTCCGTCCCCACCCAAAACTCACGGCCACATACCCTCACAACCAACCGTGCTCTTCCTGCTAGCACTTACTGAGCACTTACTATGGGCCACGTCACGTGCTTTACGTGGATTCTCTCTTCTAATCCTGGTGCCTGGCGCAGTGCTTGGCACACAATAGGCACTAAATACAGTTGTAGAATGAACAATCTGTATTTATTCCAAAAGTATTTTTATGGGTTTTCACGTCCAAGCCTGAGTATACTTGAAATCAAGAATAATTACTTTAGGTAATAAAGCTTGAAGATGCTTTTTATGAGCCTGTGTTCTCAGAGATACACATGCCCCTGTGGCTGGGAACTCAGGGAAGTCCCCCAGCATGACTGAAGACTCCAACTTACCCCACCAGCATCTTACCGATAAGAACTGAGAAGAAGAACTGCACAATGGGGATGTTCAGAATCGGGGCCGAGAGGTTCAAGAACCAATTTGGTGTCATGGGAAAAAGTCTCAAAAACAGCAAGAAAAAAAACAAGCTGTTTCTGTTCTCCTCCACCTGTAGCCAAAGAGAACAAGGCTGTTAAGAGGCAGAAAGGATCTCCAGGTATTGAAAACTGGTGCCAGGCACAGTTCTAGACACTTTACACATTCTGTTCCCAACCCTTCCAACAACCCTCCAGGGTACAGACTGTTTCCCCATTTTAAAAACGGAGATTCCTAGCTCTCTGAGAGGCCGAGGCAGGCGGATTGTTTGAGCTCAGGAGTTTGAGACCAGCCTGAGCAAGAGCGAGACCCCGTCTCTACTAAAAAAATAGAAAGAAATTAATTGGACAACTAAAAATA